AGTGGAAATCATGCTTGGATATGAATGTTCCAGTCCATGTGGTCTTCCTAGACTTTGAGAAGGCATTTGACACTGTTCATCATGACCTTCTCCTACATAAAATAAGCCAGGCAGGTATAGGTGAGCCACTTCTGTCATGGTTAGAGGACTACCTATCTGACAGGCGATTTTGAACTAAGGTCAATCGAGTCCGATCACCTTGGCACAGCTCGTCATCAGCAGTGTCGCGGGGTTCTATCCTAGGACCACTGATGTTTTTGATTTTTATCAATGATCTACCACGCCGTCTAAGCTGCCCGACTCTTCTATACGTTGACGACGTAAAGATATGGAGGGAGATGAAGTGTCTGGGGGACTCAGATAGGCTGCAGGAAGATCTAAACCTTCTGGAAGACTGGGCGGTGGCCAGTGGCATGACTTTCAACCTGAAAAAGTGCAAAGTAGTGAAGTTGCGCACCTGTAGACTGCTATTTACACCCTGTGGAATGAAACCTTGTCCTGCACAACGTCGGAACGCGTACTTAGGTCTAGTTCTAACGGAAAAAATGTACACAAGCGTAGATTACATGGGGGATGTAGCGACGGCATGTGCGGTCATACACTTTACACATAGGCAGTTAGGTGCACTCACTCCTGGGCTCTTTCTAAGGTCGTACAAAACATACGTCAGGCCACACCTTGAAGTGCACAATATTATTGCTTAGAAGAGGCACCAACCTCTTGGCAAGAGTCCAACGACGGGCAACAAAAGGAGTGGTTGGTCTCCGAAACAAACCATATAATGAAAGGCTGAAGAAATTAGGCCTATTCGCACTTAGCTACCATCGGCTTAGAGGGGATTTAATTGCTGTCTACAAAATAACAAACGACCAGAATCACCCAAACAAAGGTGTTCTGCCACTGAGTAGGTATATGCTCCCACGTGGAAATCCCAGAAGGTTAGCGCACCAGAGGGCAAGGACCCGGGTGCGCTCCCACTTCTTTTCACTGCGGGTTTGCCATCCCTGGAATTCCTTACCGGCAGATGTAGCTATGGCACCGTCTTTGGACGCCTTTAAGCGAAGGCTGGACAACCATGCGCCTGCACAAGTACTGCATCCAAATGGCCTATCCCCTTAAAATCGCATACACCGTTCAGGGGTAGACAATTAAACTCGTCGTTTTACTTCTTTACATTCTCTCCTGTCTTACTCTCCTGACAGCTTATTAATACTGTAATTACTATTACTATTATTATTATTGTTACCGATATATATATATATATATATTATTTTTCAAACTTAATGAGCTGACTGTTGTTACGCTTTCCTATATCGGTTTCTGTCTCTTAGTCTGAATAACTTCACTAACTATATCTGTTATTATTATTATTATTACTATCTCTTTTCTCTTGTCGGCGATACCGAAGGACTAACTGGCGAAATGATCAACTCCAATCACAGTAGTAACAGTCTTAACATACCTCATACTACAAACCACATATAATTAATCCCAGCACTACTCCCTTTGGAGTCAACCAAAGCTACGACAGTCGAGTGGCGGGACAAGCTACGCAGAAGTTTACCAAAGACCAGGAACCTATACCTTACAATCAAGAATCGAGCACAAGGAAATCAAATTGGTTTATACTAGCTCGTAAAAACGATATTGGATATATTGGAGTGGTCAGCGACTGGAACTCCTTACCTGACTCAGTAGTAACAGTTCCATCAGTGAATGCTTTCAGAGAGAAATAAGATCTCTGCATAGATATTTTTCAAGGATTAAAACAGGCGACAAGAGCTTAATATCCTTATTTTTTGAAACTGAATATTGCATGGTTTTCAGAGGTATCTTTAATTTTCAAGGCCGCGGCCATGAACCGGCTGTTAATTTTGTTCAGTGTAGTTGTTACCACATTGGTGTTTATTTGTCCTTTCACAAAAGTTGAAGAAAGCTTCAACATACAGGCACTTCATGATTTACTGTATTTTGGATCAAATCTGACTTCGGTATGTTTTTTTGGATCTAATAGTTATTTTCGAAGTATGACCATAAAGAGTTCCCTGGTGTTGTTCCGAGATCATTCCTAGGTTCTTTGTTAATTTCCTGGGTATGCGCACCGGTAGTTTACCTGTGCTCATTGCTGAAACTAAATAAGTTTGTCTCTCAGTATATCGGTAAATTATTGTACACTTTAATTACTGTCCAGTTAGGATTTCTTTGGGAGTACTAACAATCCTCAGTTTGAAAACGTTCGCAAATTCAGTGAAAAAAGTTTTTGGGAAACATGTGTGTGCACGTTTTCTTGTAATATGTTGCAGTCAATTCCACTTTTCATTTTATGCTTCGAGGACGCTTCCCAATAGCTTTGCTAATATACTCGGTAGGTTCTTATTCCTGAAATCTTTAAACTTGTTGTGTAATTTTTTTTGGGTCAAATAAATGTTTTGGAGTAGAATGTAATTAGAGTGTTTCCTAAAAGCCAGTGTAATTATGAGATACTGTAGTTACAATCAGTTCAATTGTGTTGCTCATATTCGGACACTCATGATGTTTTTATTATCAAATGAACTTGTGAGTGTACTTGTATTCCAGGTTTTATCAGTCAATGTTTGTGTGTTTGGAACCTTAAATCTACCTAGTGTAAACAAGTTTGTTACTCGGTATCATATAGGGTGAGAAAAGACTGAGTAAAGACAGATTCATCAAAACAGAGATAATAAACAGACGTATGAGTCAGGGAGAAAGAATGGTAAGAACCGTAAAAACTTGGGGTTTTGTTGGATATGACAGATCACAAAAAGTGGATGCACCCGAGGCAGCTATTAAAAACGATTTTGAACCATATCACCAATCGTCTCAAGCCTTCATTAATTCTTAGCATCACGTGGACCCCAACCAGATAGCAGTTTACGCCTCCCTACCTTGTTGGCTCAAACTGTTATAGATTTCACCGACTGATTCCATATTTTGCTTTGACCACCACTAACTCTTTATTAACTTGATCCTATTTCAGCGGCTAATGTTTGCCGTCGTGGAAGGCAATGGCTAGACTTACGTAACACATGTCCTAACCATCTCAATCGACATAACTTCACAACCTTTTTATTGATTCTCCCGCCTTCCTTACCTAAAACTTGACATCTAACTTCAATATTAATCACCCTATTATACTGCTTAGCACGGTAGATAGAATGCAGACATCTATCATCAAAGACAGCTAACCGGGCTTTTCATGCCGTCCAATTTCAGTGGACATTTCTCCCTCACAGCCATTAAGGAGGAGGACGGAACTAACTTCTGCTGTACAGTGCATAGATATTTTGGTCGACAGCCAGCCGGATATCACGTCTACACCAGAGATAGTATATGTTGGCAAATGCCAAATGAGCATGTTGTATTCGTGCTGAGATTTCGTAAAAAATCAGTCCGTTGCTGCTGATGGGAATTCTCAAATAAGTGAAGTAGTCAACACGTTCTGCCGATTCACTCCGTCTTTAGAGTTGGGCGTCAATGTAGTCAAGTCATATAACATCATCCTACATTTGATAAAAGCGAATCCGGTGCCAAACATTCGAAGATTTATACTCAAGGTGTTCAGAAGACTCTGCATTTTGTCAGCGTCTTCACCTACGAGGATGGAGTATATCGTCTGCATATTCTAAGTCAGAGAGATTATTGTCTGCTGGTAGCAAGTCAATTCCTGTGTCTCAGAAGTGGGTTAGGGTTGAGTCCATTAGTACATCTATGATGAAATTGAATAGAAATGGGGATAGGGGGTATCCCCGACGGACACTTCAGATGACAACCCCCCGTGGGCTCTCACCTGAGTAACTGCGTGATTTCGAGTAGAGTGAGTGTCTTGATCAATGCAATGTATTTTCTTGACATTCCTTTCGCAGTCAAACACTTCTATAGTATAGCAAAAATATTCATTCAGATATCTATAAAACACAACATAATCGAGCAAAGAATATTCTTTTCAATAAATTCCTCTTCTGGCTCTACAATTATATACATGTTTATATACACAGAATATTCAAGGTTGGTAGTTAATAACAATATTAGTGTTATATAGTAGTACCTCACGGTCGACGCAGTCGAATTCCGCTTTCAGGTCAAGAAAAAAGACAGTTGTTGGATGTCAGTAGGTATGCCACCTGTGTTCCAGAATCTGTTGCAGGATGAATATATGATCAATACACCCTCTCCCCGGTCTGAAGCCTGTCTGGTTCTCTTGTTTTTGTTTCTCCCAAGCACTAATTAATGTACACATAATTATTGAGCCTAGAACTCTTGATACCATATTGGTCAAGCTAATCCCCCTGTGACTATCACAGGAAGAAGACTTGTCTCCCTTCCTGTATATCGGGATAATGACTTACACCAGTCTAACGGGATTGTCTCTGATTGCCCACACAATCTACCCCTTGCTCTTTTTAAAGATGGTGGCGAGACTCTCGTAATGGCTCTAACTGAATTATTCAGGAAGGTATCGAAGACTGAGAGTGAACCATCAATGTGGAACAAAGCGGTTATCGTTCCCATTTTTAAAAAGGGTCGACGTAATTCACGTGACAGTCATAGGGGTATCAGTCTGTTACCAGTTACGTCTAAAATATTGGCTGCTGTCTTGCTTCGCAAGCTGTGCAAAATACTTGAGGGATTGATTCGCGAAGAGCAGGCTGGGTTTCGTTCAGGTCGTGGATGCATTGATCATCTGTTCACCCTTCGTCAGTTGTTGGAACACCGCCACAAGTATTTCAGGCCAACGATCGTGTATTTTTTTATATTAAGGCTGCCTTGGATTCGTTGGCCAGAAATGTGCTCTGGAACTGTCTGTTAGAGAAGGGTGTACCTGAGAGGTTTGTTAACATATTGAAAGCCCTATATAGAAACACCTCAGGTAGAGTGAGGGCATGCAACCAACTATCATCACTGTTCTCAACAACAGTGAGGTTAGACAGGGTTGCCCAATCTCTCCATTTCTCTTTAACTTTGCCATTGATGACATTCTGGAGTCAGCTCTGAAGGATGTGCGTGGAGGTGGTGTAGATCTGTTACCTGGAAATAGACTTCTCGACCTCGAGACAATATCGTCTTACTGTGAGATGGCATGCAGGCTGCCCAAATCGCACTTAATCAGTTGGCGATCAGTGTCTGTAAGTATGGTATGTACTTTGCACTGTCTAAGTGCAAAGTACTGTTACAAGATTGGCAGGAGTCTGTACCTGCACTCACTCTTACGGGGGAACCGCTTGAAGTTGTTGATAAGTTTGTGTCTGGGTAATTGTGTGAGTGCTGGCGGAGGGGTGGCGAATGAGATTTCCAACCGTTTAATGAAGGCTAGGGTGGCATACAACAACTTGAGCCACCTCTGGCGCCGTCGCGACGTTAGTCTGGCTGTCAGAGGTCGGGTATACAATGCTTGGGTGCGGGCTGTTTTGTTCTACGCCTGTGAAACCTCTCCGAGCTGAGGATGTTCGGCGACTCAGCGTATTCGACCATCGCTGTCTCCGCAGGATTGCTTGAGCTCGATGGCATCATCATGTGAGTAATTCTGAGGTTCGCCGGCGTGTATCTAGACACAATCGAGATCACCATTTGTTGAGTGTTGTCATCTGGAAATACCGGCTTTTGTGGTTTGGACATGCACTGTGAATGTCATCCCAGGGTCTTCCGTACGCTCTTCTGTACGCTAGCCCTGAAACAGGATGAAAAAGACGGAGAGGTGGTCAGTCCATGATATGGCGTCGTGGGATGAAGAATATTTGTGCTAGATTAGCATTGGTTGGTGCGTTATGACTCCTTGATTGGAGTCCGAGTGATAGCTTGAAACACTATCGGATATGGCCAAGAATCGTAATCAATGGTGAACGTGTTGCAATTTACTTCCTTCTTCCCTTCCCGATGTTAGCTGACGAATACTGTTTGAACTTGTTAAGTATGACTGTTTTCCTTCCTGAGGAAGTTTTTTATCCGTTCTCCACCCACCTTTTTATTTTTAATCTATGTTGTTTTATTATTACTGTGTGGCGTATATTCTTCGTGCTATATTGTACCAAGTTTTTTGCGTTTAAATAAATTTTTTTATTACAGCTTGATGCCACACCGTATTTTCGGTACAAGTATGGAATTTTCAGCATGTGATATCGGTGGCCCGAATTTTTCAGGCCGACCATAGATATCAGGTGTGCGTCGGCAGGGGATCGAACCCCGGACCATGTACACATGGTCGACGAGAGTCCTAACTACTGTGCCACCGACGCACAGTGATTCCCAGATGTTGTCTTCTAATACCTTAGTTAGTTAGTCCAGACAGCAATGTGCCACCAATATCACCTCAAAACACCTCTGAAATCATTCTGTCAGGTCCTGTTGTTTAGCCTCGTTTCAGTTTAGAGACAGCCGCCTTTGTTGTAATGTCAGTTACAGATGGTGTACGTGTCAGATGGTGTGGGCTTCCTTCACACGTAACCATTTATTGTGTTATTTATGCCTTAGCTACTTTGTCATCTGTATAAGTTTATAATATATTTTTCTATGTATTTTTTTGTCCCGTAGTCTTATATTCTCTGGGCCAGTTAATCAACGGTAATCAGGCTGCATTTCTTGTATCCGCCGGCGTATCAGTCTTAGTATTTCGTAGTGAATTAATCCTCCTGTTTGGACCATGTCTACTGTATGCTTTATTCACTGGACGTGTAAGCATTGGATGGAATTTCTTCAAGATAATTATTACAACAACAATCATCAGTATCGGTATGTGTCGAAACTTCCTACTTTCTTACCTCTCTTTTTGCTTTTCTTTTCTTTATTGTCAATAGGCTGCAGTGTCCTTATCGATTCCTACTTTTGGGGTAGATTAATTTGGCCAGAATTAGAAGTATTTTATTTCAATACAATTTTAAACAAAAGTGGACAATGGGGAGTATCCTTTTGCCCATTATAATTTAGATGACTGTGTGTTATCGGTACTTTAAAGTTTCGAGTGGAACATTTTTGCTGATGAGAATTCCCTGTGTAAAGACAGAAGACAAGAGGCTAGGCAACACATTTTGATGTGGTTGTGTTCTCTGAGCTGGATGGTTGTGATTTGCGAAGCTTTCATCACCCTCCCTGCTGGGTGACATCTTCAGCGCATCATACTTCAATTTGTTGAAGTCAGCTTTTACATTTCTTCACGAGTTTATTAATCATCTCTCCTGGTGGGTGACCTTGGACGTGATTGGTTGTTTTTGTGTGTTTTCATACCTTCTAGGTTACTTGTGGTATTGGAACTGATTGTTTCTTTGACTTGATGTTTGACCCTTTGTGTGAGGTTTCTTTCTTATCGGTTGATAAATTTTGTCTATTTCTGTATGTCTATTGATTGATGATTCACTGGAGTGTCAAGCTTCTACCGGTTATCTAGAATTCTTGTTCTCTCCTCCGTCTAATATTTGAACATTTTCCCAGTCGAATTGATGTCCGTGGGGTTGCTAGCCTCATGCCCAAGCTTTCCTCTTTACTAGCAATATTTTCTGGCTTAGCGAGGTAAAGGAGTGCCTCGTCAGTGGCCGGGGATCGAACCCCCAAACCATGTGTATGGTTGGCGAGCATCCTAACCGCTGTGCCACCGACTCACTGAGCACTTTGGTGGTGGTAGAATGTAATTCCATGTTAGATAAGTTTATATTTTTAAAATATCACAAAGTGAGCGGTGCAGTATTAACCACTGGATGACAGGGGTTTCGAGCATAAATTATTGCCACACTACTCATAATCATATGAAATTTGGTCACACGGTTTCAAAATTTGTCTTATACGTATATTTTTGTTCTCTCTCTCTCTGTTCTGTCTCTCCAACTTCTTTTTGTTGTTTCCGGTTGCCACTTTCCATATTTTCGGTATAGGCGGTGTGTTGCGTCATTACTTACTTTTTACTTTACTTCGGCTATCTCCTACGGGAGGATGAGCCGGCTTCATGAACGTCTCGAATCATCGCTGCCCAGGCGCGGCGATCTGAAGCAAGGTTTTGCGATAGGGATATCCAATTCTTGTTCCACATACGGAGTCCGTAGACGGTTTGTAGCCCCAGGCACTCCATATCTGCCTTGACTGTACCAAGCCATGTCTTCAGCTGTCCCCCCTGCGACATCGCCAAGATGGTAATGGCGAGGGATTTAGAACTGATTTGACCAGATCGTCATCTGGTCGGCGCAGAACATGGCCAAACCACCGAAGGCGGCGTTGTTGGACCAGTACTGGAATTTGGTTGATGTTGTAGCAACGACGACGCACTTCTTCGTTGGAGAGTTTGTCCTGCCAACGAACATGCAGAATGTACCTGAGACACCAATGGTCTAATACCTCGAGTCTGCGTAAATCTTCCGCGCGAAGAGGCCAGGTTTCACAGCCATACAGGAGAACGGGTCGTATGGAAGCTTGGTAGACCCGAATTTTAGTCCTGAGACTGATTTCTCTCTTGCTCCATAGAACGCTCCTCAGCTGTAGAAACGCATTCCGGGCGTTGGAGATTCGCGCATTCACTTCGTTTTTCGCTTGGCCGTTGGGGAGCATTATGGATCCCAGATATCTGAAGGATGGCACAATTTCAATAGGTGCTCCATTTAGGGATAAGATTTCATCATTGCTGGTGGATGTGTTCGAAAACATTTTGGTTTTGGAAGTGTTAATTTTCAAACCGATAGTAGGCGCGAGGTGGTTTATCTGGTCGAGCGCCTGTTGCATATCGGGGAAGTTTTCAGCTAACAGCACGACGTCGTCGGCGAATTCGAGGTCGGTTATGTGAATATCGGGCGAAAGTTGGACGCCGTGGTGCTCGGTTAGGGCGTGCCGCAAAATCCAATCAATTGTGAAATTGAACAGGATGGGGGATGCTGGACAACCTTGCCGGACACCGCTGGTTACCTCAAAAGTGCGGGACTCTTCACCGTTCACTCGGACTCGAGCTTTGGTGTTGGAGTAGTATGACCTGAGCAGGTTGATTAGCTTGGTCGGAACTCCGTCGAGCTCCATTAGATACCAGAGTGCTCCTCGATCAACTGAGTCGAATGCCGCTTGGAAGTCGATGAAGCAAGCAACCGTCGGCTGTTGGAATTTGTCCCTGTGTTCCAAAATTCTTCGCAGTGTGAATAATTGATCAACACAGCCTCTTCCAGGTCGAAATCCGGCTTGATTTGGCCTTGTTCGCACGTGGCGTTCGGCCGCGAAGCGGTTCAGGAGAATGGAAACAAAAACCTTAGCAGCGATATCAATCAGACTTATGCCTCGGTAGTTCTCGCATATTGACCTGTCTCCCTTTTTGTGGAACGGTAGCAGAACTGAGGTGCTCCAATCGGAAGGAATGGTTTCGGACTCCCAAATTGAGCAGAACAGCGAGTGCAGTGCATCGATTAGCGCTGGAGTGCAGGCCTTGTATATTTCTGGGGTAGACCATCTTCGCCCGGAGCTTTTTTGTTTCTGAGTCTGTTAATTGTTTTAGCTATTTCGGTTGGAGTGGGTGGATCGCAGTCAACTACGTAGGGTGTTGGTAAGTGTCGTATCGGTCGATGAGACGGTTGACCAGCGTCGCGATTGAGTAGCTGCTTGAAGTGTTCGGCCCATCGTTCCATCTTACCATTGGTGTCCGAAATAATTTCTCCTGATGCTGTGCGTAACACAGCATGACTGTTAAGGCGTTTGCCAGATGATTGGCGTATGAGGCGATAAAGTTTTCCGAAATCGCCTACATTTGATGCTGCTTCCATGTTAGTCGCCACGTTAGACCAATAGCGATTTCTGTCGTTCCTAGCAGACTGTGTAGCTTTGCGCCTGAGGGAGCGATAAACTGGAGACTTTGCTAGGCGAGCGTCTCTGGCTTGCGAGGATAGAAGCATGGTGTGCTCTGAAATCCAGTCTTTCTGCTTCTTGGATGTGGTACCCAAATGCGACATTGAAGCTTTAGAGACTACTTCTTTGAAATGATTCCATCGTGTCTCGGGTGTATTAGAAGATGTGGATGTTGGTTCATCTGCGGCGCTTAGTTCGGCCTGGATTTGTTTGGACAAGGCTTGTCGCTTTGTCGAACATTGAAGCGGGGCAACATTGATACGCTTCGGAGGTCGCGCCTTCTGGCGTGTCGTTAAACGAAGTTTGAATTTCGCCCTAACTAGAGTATGGTCTGATCCCCCTTTATTTCCGGCCTCTGCTCCACGATAGGATCGACAGTCTTCCACCGAGGAGATCCAGCGTGAGCGCACTAGGATGTAGTCGATCTGATGTGCAGTGCGACCGTCGTTCGAATACCAGGTGAGAAGATGTTTTCTGGGGTGTTGAAATCGAGTGTTGGTGATATATAATCGATTGTAATCAGAAAAAGCTAAAAGTCTATCACCATTACGGCAGCGCTGATCGAGACCGTGTTTGCCTAGTATATGTTTTGTCGCGTCGTCTGAAGGGCCAGTGCGGGCGTTCCAATCGCCGGCTACTATGAGAACGTCACGCTTTGGGATTTTGTTGATTGCCTCTTGAAGATTGTCATAAAATTCGTCTTTGATACTTTCATCAGAGTCGAGGGTTGGGGCATAGACAGCGAGAACAGAAATGTCGAGCGGGGAACCCTTGAACCTAGCGACTGCAACTCTGGAGTTGACCGGTTCGAATGATATTAGGGCATTATTGGCTTTGTTACTGAGAGCAAATGCTACCCCATGTTGTCCCGAATTATTCTGGGGTCCACTATGAAGCAACCAGAATGAAGAATCTGTTCCAGGTACGGCTATTCGGCGGGAGCCATGATCGGGTAACCTCACTTCAGATAGACACGCTATGTCTACCTTGTAGTCATATAAAGAACGCATGGTGATAGACTGGCTACCAGGATCCAACAGCGTCCTAACATTCCAGCAGCCAACAAATAGTTGGTTTCTAAGTGTTAATTTCCCAGCTAGCTTACTTTTCACACTGGCCACCGGGTGAGCACAGGGCGCGTCGCTTACCGGGAACGCCGTAGCATGGTGAGAGTTGTTTGTAGGAGAGTTCATGAAGTTTCTTGGGAATTTGGTACGAGTGATGTCCCCAGCATCGCTCGGCCTTTTGTTTGAGAGTGCAGCTCTAGCCTTTACACAGCCAAGTGTGACCTACAAGGCAGTAGGAGTGGAGTAAGGAGTCCACTATCCATTGGCAGCCGGTGACCGGAGTTCGGTTCATACGCCTTTTTGAATGGGGCCAGACATCCAGGACATCCAACAAGCCCTTTGTCCATACGTCTGCCGGTAAAAAAAAGTGAGCTTCATACGCCAGTCGTTGAAGGTTTGGAATCAGGGTTTAGCCATCTCCCCTAGACTGTCATCCAATGGACAGTCAACCCGGTGGAGAGCGCCGGGCATCCGCTTTTGCCCTCTCACTTTAGTGAGAAACACCTCCGCCACGTGAAGGCAGTGAGTAGGACTTCCTCAGGAGAGGCTATGTAAGACGCACGGTCATATGGGAGCATTTCAAGAGGTGTGCGGAGGGGTGGCCAACCCGCAGCGCAAGACACCCACCCCCGACCATCCTGAGGCTTTGGAGGTCATTCCGATTGCACGTATGCTGCAGTGTTGAGTCGATTAAAATAGATTCAGTGATTAACCTGTCCCTCTCTCTCTCCACCTAACCATATTACTTTTTTAATACTCTTACCCTGTCCCACTCACCTTAATGTGTGGTGGCATGCAAGTGAATGCAGCGCAATGGTTGAGCTTCTTTCTAGGTTATTTAACTTAGCATCGTCAATTATTCTATGTCTAGCTAAATTTCTATGTTCCAATAATCTAGTTGACCACGATCTACTAGTTTAACTGACCTATGTAATTGACGTCATTCACTGTCATTACACGGTGCATCGGTGGGACAGCGGTAGTGTTCGCGGACCACGTAGGTAGTCCGGGGTTCGACCTCCGAACAATGCACTCCTTTACCTTGCTAAGCCAGTAGTAAGATTGGTAAAGAGGGTAGGTCGGGGGCATGAGGCTAGCAACCCCGTCCTGTAGAAATAATCACCACTTCTACAAAAACTTCAAGTATCTAGCTCTATGTTCCACTGTGAACATAAAGGAATAAAAAATCTGTCATTACATGTAAATTGATAAATTGTCGGTGGCACAGTGGTTAGGACTCTCGCTGACCATGCACATGGTCCGAGGTTCGATCCGCCGCCGACGAAGCACACCTGATATCTATGGTCGGCCTGCAAAATTTTGAGCTACCGATATCAAATGCTGAAAATTCCATACTTGTACCAAAAATACAGTGTGGAATCAAGCTGTAAGTCAAAAAAATAAAATAAAAAAATAAATAAATTCCTCTTAATCGGATCTATCATTGGGTTCTTTAGCTGACAAAGTTAGTCTCTGAGTGAATGAGTTGGCTGGTTGGTTGGTTGGTTGGCTTGAGTTCCACTATAATTCCTGCCTCATTAAGAATCCTACGCAAGACCTTCATACAGCAGTACTACACACCGGCTTTAAATTCTGCATTATTTTCGTCACTTTTACTGCTAATCTTAGTTTTTTTGATGATTCTTCATATATATATTTCTGAATAAATTCTGGTGGGCAGTGTGTGTTATTCACTAGTAATACTTCTGTTAATTGTTTGATTTCATTATTGAAATCTTCTGGCTCACTGGTTAGGCTCTTGGCCCGATTATAAAGACATTTAACTAAACCTATCTTCTCTGATTCTGGACGGTGTCACCTGAAGTGGTGGCGACTAGTAGTTTCCATCAGGGATGCCCATTATCCCCATTTCTATTCAATTTCATCATAGATATAGTAATGGACTTAACCCTAACTCACTTCATCGACTCAGGGATTGACTTGCTACCAGCAGACAATAATCTCTCTGACTTAGAATATGCAGACGATATACTCCATCCTCGTAGGTGAAGACGCTGACAAAATGCAGAGTCTTCTGAACACCTTGAGTTGCAATCTAAAAATGTTTGGCTTGCGATTCGCTCCCGTCAAACGTAAGATGATGATACAGGACTGGACTACACTGACTCCTAGTTTAGAAATAGGAAGTGAAGTGGTAGAGCACGTTGATCGCTTCATTTATTTGGGAAGTTGCATCAGCCAACGCCGTCGGCTTGATCTCTGACTAAATCTCAACACAGATACAAAGGGCTAGTTTCACATATGTCAGTTTACGCCGTCTCTGGCCTAGTAGACGTGATATCCGGCTGGCTATCGACCAAAGGGCGGGTGTGTCGCTTAGCATTCCGCTTCGTTCTCCTTTGTGTCTGTGTGACATGGCCATTGATAGTAGAGGATATTAAAAGACTAGCTGTATTTGATCATCAAGCAAATAGAGACGTGTAGTTGAAGCCCTATGTTCCAATAGGAACCCAAGGGAACATTAATAATAGATAATAATAATAATAATTTGATCATGGGTGCCTGCGTTCTATTTCCGTGTGAAGTGGTATGATAGGATAAGTAATATTGAAGTTAGGCTTCAGTCGAGTTCTAAGTAAGGAGGGAGGGATAATCAATCGATGAGGCTGTGAAGCCACATAGATTGAGGTGGTTAGGACATGTGTTACGTGTGCCTGGTTCTTGAATTCTAACTTCTTGTGTTACATATATCTTATTTTATCAAGTAAAATGCTTTAACCTTAACTGTGAGTATCTTTCAGACATATCCCTTTCATTGGTATTTCACCTCTGCTTTGCCAAGATCTCTTCTCTGCTCTTGCTTCATCCTGTATGCATGGATCCCTATCATCATGGTGAGAATCCTCCGGAAACTTTCCACATACAAAGATGATATTATCATACCTCAGAGTACTGGATTACTGTTTGTCGCTTTGATATTTATCGGCTTGTATTCATTTTTACCGCATAAAGAATTACGTTTTATTATTTATGTACTGCCTGTGCTGAATCTTGTCGTGGCAGATATTTGGACTAACTTGTAAGTTGACGATTTGTTTTCTTTGTTTTTTCTTTGTGACTGTATGGAAATTTTATCATGAATTTTTCGTTATGTTTATTAAGTTGTTCAACCCTACCGATAGCTGCTGCCTTGACGTGGTGGTCGGGCTTGCACATCGCGATGAACCAAAAAGCTGCACTGTCTGGAACAAATGTTCCTGCAGGTACTACCATGCCAGGAAGGTTGTTAGCATAGCGATTAAACTAAAAGCAGCTACCGGCATTGTGTAAGAATCTTTCTTACACTATGCTGGGGTCTGAGGGCGAAGTCGTACTGCTGGGGAACAGGAGTGTAACAGCAGTGAGGTGTTTCCCTGAGATGACCAGCATGCCAGCCAGCTATGCTGTCTCTCCACTCCGGAGAGAGGGGGTTAGAAAAGGTCGACCCAAAAAATTGTACATCCCGAATTATCCTACGGTGGTCCGTAACTGGCGGTGAGTTTACTAATACGGAACCAAACCAAGAAACCAGTTCATACAGGCCGTGTGTAACTGGCCTCAAGCAGTTGTCCCCTGGGCTGTACGGTCACGCAACACTAACCCTCTTTCTGTTTCAGGTACCCGAAGAATCAATCAACTTCCATGTTGTGCGCATCCGCGAAGTATAGCAACCGTCCTTACACTTCCAAAAGCACACGAAACCTTCCTGAACAGACAGACAGACAAGTTGTTCAATTAGTGTGTAGTGTCATATTTCTTGACCTGGAAGCGGAATTTCACTTCGTTGATGTAGAGGTACTATGCGAGTGTTTATCCGTCAGGGGAGTGCCAATAAGGTATATTTTAATAATCAAGGGATTCTACTCAACGTCACGAAACTGTGAAGTGATAAAAACCGGTGGTGTCCGTCTCCTTTGTTGTGGACTAATGGACTTAACTCTAACTGACTTCAACGACTCAGGAATTGTGAGGAGCAATTTAAATTGGCCTACAGCCACGCTAAACTTACCCAAGCATCCAAAACCTCCCTGAATGGGATATAGACTCAAGTCCTCTGTCCCCAAATGAGGTTACAAAAGCTGTCACTAATCTAAAACGAGGTAAATCAACGGGACCTTATAGAATGACTCCAGAAGTGTTCAAGAACGGTGGAGACAGTTTACTGTTTGCGTTAACCAAGGTATTAGGCAGCGTCTGAGAATCACAGATGGGCCTGTAGGGCTGGTGAAAGTTATTGATTATCCCCATATACAAGAGGGGTGACAAGTTTTCCTGTGATAATCACAGGGGGACTTAGCTTCACCAATATGGTATCTAAAGTTCTAAGCTCAATAATCATGCGTAGAGTAAGCTGTTCCCGGGAGGAACAAACACGAGAGAACCAGGCAGGCTTTAGACCAAGAAGAGGGTGTATTGATCATATCTTCACTCTCCGATAGATTCTGAAACACAGGTAGCATACTTGCTGGTGTCCAGTAATCGCCATATTTCTTTACCTGAAGGGGGAATTCGACTGCGTTGACCGAAAGGTACTATGGTGATGTTCAACTGTGAAAGGAATATCAAGAAAATACATTTCACTGAACAAGACACTCAATCTACTCGAGCGGATGCAGTCAGCCAGGTGAGAGCCTACGGAGAGTTGTCGTGTAAAGTGGTGACAACCAGTGCAATGGTGTCCGTCAGAGAGGATGCCCACTGTCCTCATTTCTATTCACTTTCATTATAGATGTATTAATAGACTTAACCCTTACTGACTTCAGCGATCCAGGGATTGACTTGCTGCCACCAGGGAATAATGTCGTTGACTTATACTAGGTGAACACGCTGACCTAGAGAAAACAAAGCTGACGAGGATAACCAACCAACAGGAAAAGCAACAAAAACCAGTGTTATGATTCTGGATCTTTGTCTCGAGGTAACTGCTTAACTACTGACCATTGGCCACTTAACTGGTAAAGCAGAACACGCGATAATCAGCGGTAAAACCAGAATCATTTATTTATGACAAAAGTAACTGTATTTATACAAAAATAAGGTAGACTGGAAATCAACCAATCCGGTCGAGAGTTTGGAATTGTGCAAGCGTCCAATCAGAAAGCAGAAACAAATGCATGTCAACGACATGATAATAACTTGATAATTGCATGTGTTTTGCCTCTTCCTAACAACCAGCACCAGTTAACGTCAACGGGAGAGATTTGACAGAGATTACTTCCTTCACATATCTATGATAATAATAATAATAATAATGATAATAATAATAATGATTTACTTTATTTCAAAAAACAGTACTTGTGATACAGAATGGAATTTTCAGCATTAATCACAATATTACATCTAATTTCCTCAAATTATAAATAAAAATTAATCACACAGAAAATTTTCCATATTTACAATAGAGGTAGTGTCAAAAACATGCAGCATATAAAATGGAGATAGCAATAATAATGATAGTAGCTAGGGTAATAATAATAAGAATACAAGTGAAAAATTGCCGTGGGCTTTTTACACACAGTATTGGCAATGTGGTATAGAAATCCTAACATGTTTAAAAATATTGATTATAATGTTCTCTTTAAATGATATGGTGAGGGGAAAAACAAAGATGGCAGCAGTCATGGAGATAAGTTGGTGTTTGCAGTTATGAGAGTAAAATAAACAAAGAAGCAACAGGACCATGAATATAATTGTTATAACTGCACTGAATTAAGGTAAACCCCGTCGCCAATTTGTTATAACTGTAGTGAATTGAAATGAAGACGTTTTCACCTTATTCTGTCTGCGCCTGAACTAATCTGTCTATCTGCTCGTCGTACCTTCCGACTTGGTAAAGCACGCAAATATCAAAAGACAAAGGCTGGACTGTGACTGTGTATTGAGGTGCAACAACGATAAAGAAAGCCATGGTATTTATACATTTTACAACAATATGGACAGCTAACAGCATTTGAAATAATTTATCTTAATAGCCAATAATAAAGTGCGTGAGAGATGATAATATACCATATGTGCGAGGTTGACAGTCAGTAACAAAATGTGTGGGAATGATAATATACCATATATACAAAATTAGCAGTCACTACCAAAATGCGTGAGAATGATAATATACCATATATACAAAATTAGCAGTCACTACCAAAATGCGTGAGAATGATAATATACAAAATTAGCAGTCAATACCAAAATGTGTGAGAATGATAACATACCATATATGCAAGTTTAAACAGTCAATACCAAAATATGTGGGATCCTATCACCTCCCCCCGTAAAGAGTGTAGGACTTGCTTTTTGGATCTGTTTGAAAAGGTTTCGGAGCTCTTCTTTGTCGAGTTGACCTTTGCGTGGTACTGGATAGAGCGTGATCTGTGTGTCTGACACATAACTGTCCTTTTTCATTCGTACGATAATGCAGCAAGAATTTATCCAAAAATTTTTTCTGTTGTTCCCTCCCCCTTCGCTTTTGCATAAGCACGCTTAAAGGTGTCGACGAAACGTTCAGTAATAGTTGACGTAGGTGGGACACTGTTGCAATTGATGTGGCAGAATGCATAGGAAATATCTCTGGCCATTTGGAAAACGCGTCGACACATATTAAGAAATGCATACTATTGAACGGTCCAGCGAAGTCAACATGAACACGGGACCATGGTTTGTCCGGTCGTGGCCAGGAACATAGTTCTGTCTTGCGTGGACACTTTGATGCTTGAGCACATTTACTACACTTGCGAACGAGGTCTTCGATATGGTCATCGATGTTGGGCCAGTAAACATAACTGCGAGCGATCGCCTTCATTCTCCCAACACCAGGATGTGATATATGAAGCTGCCAAAGCACATGGTCACGAAGATTAGCTGGAACGACAACACGATCAGCAAACATTATGCATCCATTGACGATGGATAGGGATTGGCGTCGCTGGTAAAACTGTTTTAAAACATTTGAATGAACATGTGGAGGCCAGCCAAATCGGATGAACTTTGATACTTGCTGTAAAACTGGATCACGCAGTGTGTGTCTGGCAACCTCAACTGCAGTCACCGGAAGATCGTCCAGAGAGATAGACATTATAATTGGGTTGTAATTAACACAGTCAAAAATGTTATGTAGTTGCGCTGAACAGAATAAAAACTGTCGTCGTTTGCTTGCTATAACTGCGATGAATTAAAGTAAATCCCCGTCGCCAATTGTTATAACTGCACTGAATTAAGGTAAACCCCGTCGCCAATTTGTTATAACTGTAGTGAATTGAATGAAGACGTTTTCACCTTATTCTGTCTGCGCCTGAACTAATCTGTCTATCTGCTCGTCGTACCTTCCGACTTGGTAAAGCACGCAAATATCAAAAGACAAAGGCTGGACTGTGACTGTGTATTGAGGTGCAACAACGATAAAGAAAGCCATGGTATTTATACATTTTACAACAATATGGACAGCTAACAGCATTTGAAATAATTTATCTTAATAGCCAATAATAAAGTGCGTGAGAGATGATAATATACCATATGTGCGAGGTTGACAGTCAGTAACAAAATGTGTGGGAATGATAATATACCATATATACAAAATTAGCAGTCACTACCAAAATGCGTGAGAATGATAATATACCATATATACAAAATTAGCAGTCACTACCAAAATGCGTGAGAATGATAATATACAAAATTAGCAGTCAATACCAAAATGTGTGAGAATGATAACATACCATATATGCAAGTTTAAACAGTCAATACCAAAATATGTGGGATCCTATCACCTCCCCCCGTAAAGAGTGTAGGACTTGCTTTTTGGATCTGTTTGAAAAGGTTTCGGAGCTCTTCTTTGTCGAGTTGACCTTTGCGTGGTACTGGATAGAGCGTGATCTGTGTGTCTGACACATAACTGTCCTTTTTCATTCGTACGATAATGCAGCAAGAATTTATCCAAAAATTTTTTCTGTTGTTCCCTCCCCCTTCGCTTTTGCATAAGCACGCTTAAAGGTGTCGACGAAACGTTCAGTAATAGTTGACGTAGGTGGGACACTGTTGCAATTGATGTGGCAGAATGCATAGGAAATATCTCTGGCCATTTGGAAAACGCGTCGACACATATTAAGAAATGCATACTATTGAACGGTCCAGCGAAGTCAACATGAACACGGGACCATGGTTTGTCCGGTCGTGGCCAGGAACATAGTTCTGTCTTGCGTGGACACTTTGATGCTTGAGCACATTTACTACACTTGCGAACGAGGTCTTCGATATGGTCATCGATGTTGGGCCAGTAAACATAACTGCGAGCGATCGCCTTCATTCTCCCAACACCAGGATGTGATATATGAAGCTGCCAAAGCACATGGTCACGAAGATTAGCTGGAACGACAACACGATCAGCAAACATTATGCATCCATTGACGATGGATAGGGATTGGCGTCGCTGGTAAAACTGTTTTAAAACATTTGAATGAACATGTGGAGGCCAGCCAAATCGGATGAACTTTGATACTTGCTGTAAAACTGGATCACGCAGTGTGTGTCTGGCAACCTCAACTGCAGTCACCGGAAGATCGTCCAGAGAGATAGACATTATAATTGGGTTGTAATTAACACAGTCAAAAATGTTATGTAGTTGCGCTGAACAGAATAAAAACTGTCGTCGTTTGCTTGCTATAACTGCGATGAATTAAAGTAAATCCCCGTCGCCAATTGTTATAACTGCACTGAATTAAGGTAAACCCCGTCGCCAATTTGTTATAACTGTAGTGAATTGAATGAAGACGTTTTCACCTTATTCTGTCTGCGCCTGAACTAATCTGTCTATCTGCTCGTCGTACCTTCCGACTTGGTAAAGCACGCAAATATCAAAAGACAAAGGCTGGACTGTGACTGTGTATTGAGGTGCAACAACGATAAAGAAAGCCATGGTATTTATACATTTTACAACAATATGGACAGCTAACAGCATTTGAAATAATTTATCTTAATAGCCAATAACAAAGTGCGTGAGAGATGATAATATACCATATGTGCGAGGTTGACAGTCAGTAACAAAATGTGTGGGAATGATAATATACCATATATACAAAATTAGCAGTCACTACCAAAATGCGTGAGAATGATAATATACCATATATACAAAATTAGCAGTCACTACCAAAATGCGTGAGAATGATAATATACAAAATTAGCAGTCAATACCAAAATGTGTGAGAATGATAACATACCATATATGCAAGTTTAAACAGTCAATACCAAAATATGTGGGATCCTATCAATAATAGAAATAATAAAAGTAAAACTTGAAGGTATATTAGGATGGATGGATGGAGGAAATTGTTTATTTACTAGATGAGGGAGAAAGGTTAGTTAATTCTTGCCTGACACTATTTTCATCACATAAAATACTTGCTGTCAAGTATGGTATCATAGAATTTTTATACTTAGACGCAAATGCTGCATCGTTTCAACTACAGGCAGTTGAAACGGACGGGGATATCAACACCAGCCAGAATCGAAGAGGCAAGATACGCCTTCATCAACATGAAATCTTTTGCACTGCACTCTGTGAAATAAAGAATACAATGTGGATTTTCAACACACACACACACATGAAGTCAGTCAGTCAGTTCTTCAATATGGGTCGGAAACTTGGCCAGCATATTACGAAAAAGGTTTCCAACAAGTTACAGACCTTTATCAACAGGTGCCACCTTCGCTAGCTTCATAATGAAGATCAAATGGCCATCCGGCCCTGCTAGAAGGAATAAAGCAACAAGAAACCAACCAAGAACCTCTCGTTCAATTGAATATGTAGCAGAAAATGGAGATGGATCAGGCATACATTGAGGAGGAGGAGGCCGTGGAATCGTGATATCGCGCGCACAGTGCAGGTCATCATTCGAGTGGAATCCTAATTGGGAAGCGATGAATTGGTCGTCGGTGCGGGGGTAACATGGAGAAGATGAAAGATTATGGAAGATCGTTGGATCCAGCTGAAGTATAGATGTATTGTTGAAGCCCTATGATGTTCCACTCGGAACCCAAGAGAATAGTCAATAATAATAATAATAAATATAATCAACCGTAAATTCCTCTTCAGGTTTATCTTCTCACTGTCACTTTGTATTCATTTAAATCTCAATTATGTATATTTTTGTCTTTTATTCTTTACAATTTTTTTACGCAAACTATTAGAGAGAAACCAGTGTTATCTTCTAAAGGAGGAGACGTATTATATATGAATCTATGGAAAAAGAAATCTCTGCCTAAACGAATAACAGTCATTCGTCTTTTACTTATTTCATGTTGTTATACTCATCTCCTTGTGAATGCTGCCTGTTCACTGGTGTTAACTAAAGCGGCACAAAATAATTACCCCGGTGGGGAAGCATTGAATACGCTAAATCATATGGAACATTTAACACATAGAAATGGTAAGCTCTCCTTTGTATTGATATTTATGTGCCCTATGGTCGTAGTATGCATGTAATTCTATATTGATTTGTTTATTAGATATATCACATACAGGGAAAAAAACACACAGTATTACTGTTAACTGGATGACAATGTTTCGAACACAACTTACTTATAGTTCATATAATCATATCGCCAATTATAATCACACAAACTTCGAAACTTGAGTTTTATAGTTTTCTTTATTTCTTCCCCATTCGTCCTGGGTGTAGGAGAACTTCCAGGTGTCTAGCTGGACAGGTGTTGAATCATTTCTATTGAGCATGTATTCGATGAGCATAAAGCTTCCGTTATCAATCTCTCTCTCCCTCCCTCTACCCTGTTACATTATATTTTAAAACTGTCATCTTATCCCATCCAGCCTATTGTGTGGTTGTGTGTGTGTGTGACTGCATGTAGTGAGTGCTATAGCTGAGCTGTTTTCCAGATTTCTTATTATCTTACTAGGGTCAACTAATCTAGATTTTGCTAGGTTTCTGTGTCCAACCAGTCTGACTGCTCCTGTTCTACTATTTTCACCTATGTATTCGACCTAACAATCATTCCAGCAGCAGGGTTTTAGATTAAACTAAGTTGTATTGTTTTAAAGGCTCCTCAGGATTGATTCTTTACCCGACAACTCTTATTTCTAATTGAGTTTGTGGGTTTTTTGAACGCCAGTCACATTTATTCCTGCATTGTTAGGAATTCTTTGTAGAATTTCAGAGGTTCCATCTTTGTATAGAAGTACTACTGATGATTTAAATTCCCTATTTTTTTTTTTGATTTACAGCTTGATTCCACACTGTATTTTCGGTACAAGTATGGAATTTTCAGCATGGATATCGGTAGCCCAAATTTCTCAGGCCGACCATAGATATCAGATGTGCGTCGGTGCGGGCTCGAACCCCGGACCATGTGCATGGTCGGCGAGAGTCCTAACCACTGTGCCACCGACGCACATTGTTGATTTTGTTATGATCGTGAGCATGTTTGACATGCATGCCGTCATTAATATTATTATTGTCACTATCACTACTATCATTATTTATTTTATTTCTACATTTCCCTACATATTTCCTGACTAATTCGTCAGGGTAATTATTCTCTATGTTGAATCCAGACAGACAGGGTAATTATTCAATTTCAAAGCTTCTCTTATATGCTTCACTTCGTGTCTTAGATTTTCCTTGGTAATACTTAGTTTTTGTGCTCTATTACTTAAACACTTCACCAATTCTATTTTCACTGACATAGGATGGGATGATCGGAAATACAAATATCTTTTCGAATGTGTGGGTTTCCTGTAAACATTTTCTTTTTACGCTGCAATCTAACATTGGAAGTTCCCCTTCCTGACTTCCCAATTCATAAGTGAATTGAATTGCCGCCGCCTTTGAGTTAATGTGTTCGAAAAATCTATCTATATCCTGTGTTTTAAGTACAGTGAATGTGTCATCTAAATACCTCCACCATACTTTTGGGGTGGGGCTGAACGTTTCAGTCGCTCAGATTTTGCCACCTATCCATGAATATATATCTGCCACAAGCGGGGATGTTGGTGATCCTATGGCAAATCCCTCAGTTTGTTCGTATATTTTCCCTTGGAATTCAAATATTGTGGAAGGGAGGTACAGCTGGACTCCCAGCATTATGTCCTCAAGTGGTGCTTTTGTCCTACGTTCCAATTCTTGGTCAGAAATGAGTTCGTTTCTGACTGCCTCTATTATTATTATTATTATTATTATTATTATTATTATTGTATCCTTTAATTCCTAGAGGAACATAGGGCTTCAGCTGCCCATCTCCACTGCCTTCTGTTTTCTGCCAACTTTTTCACTCCGCTCCAGGCCTGCCCACATGCTTTCATTTCCCCTTCACACGACATCCTCCAAGTCACCCTTGCACTGACGACCAACTCGCCGCTTCCCATTTCCTCAGGTTCCACTCGAACGATGGTCTGTCGTGTGATGTCACTTGATGGTTTCCTCAGAGCACCGCCAGCCAATCCATCTCCATTTCTTCCTGCCTATTTGTTTCACAATCGGTTCCTGCTCAGTTGGTTCACTCAATCCCAGAGATCCCACCCTGTTGCTGATGTTTTCTGGCCGGCCATCTGATCTTGAGTATTGAGCGAGGACAACTGTTAATGAAGGTCGGAAGTTTGTTTGAGATGCTCTTTATGACGCGCTGGTCAAGTCTCTGATCCGTATAGTAACACTGACTTCACATTGGAGTTGAAAATCTGGATCTTATTTTTGATGCTGGGTGTGCTGTTGACCTCCACACAGACTTGGTGAGAGTAATGAAAGCTTGTCTTGCTCTCCCGATTCTGGCTTTGATATCCTCGTCAGTTCCACCGCCTGTAGTTGAAACGATGCTTCCCAGGTAGGCAGGTGAAGGAGGTTGTTTCTTTCAGGTTCCTCCCATTTATGCAGGCTGATTGTTGTCTGTTGTTGCTGTTGGTGTTGGCCAAGAATCTTTATCACCGCTGTTTTATCTATGTTCACTTGAAGTCCTATCTTTTCTGGATGCTTCTCCTGCCAGCTTGTTGCTTTTCACTTGCATATCTTCCGGTTTGTGGGAAATCAGACATATATCATCGGCGAACTCCAGATTCTCCAAGTTTTTTGTGTGAGTCCATTTTATGCCTGTTTCCTCATTTCCCGTTGTCTGTCTCATTATCCAATCTACTGCAATCAGGAAGATCATTGGCGATAATAGACAGCCTTGCCTCATTCCCGTCCTCACTTCGAAGGCTTCCGTAAGTTTCCCGTTGTGGATTACTTGGCATGAAGCATTGTCGTATAACTGTTGGATGAGATGTATAATTGTCGATGGGACCCCGTAGTAGCGAAGTAGTTGCCAAATCACCTCTCGATCGACGCTGTCGAAGTCTTTGAAGTTGAGATAGAGAGGTGACTGCCTGCCGTTCCAAGCTTTGTTCAATGATGATCCGTAGTGTGGCGATTTGATCAATACATGACTTGTTTCTCCTGAATCCAGCTTGTACCGGTCAGAGTTTTTCATCCATGTTGGCTTGTTTGATTCTCTCCAGGATGATGCGGCTTAGTATTTCTCTTGGAATGGACAGGAGCATAATTCCACGCCAGTTTTTACATTGACTCAAGTCTCCTTTCTTTGGTAGTTTGAATAAGCATCCTTTCTTCCAATCCTTTGGTACTTTTCCCTTTTTCCACACCTCCATCAGTGGCGTCATCAAGTCTGCTGTTGTCTCTGGGTCTATTTTCAAAGCTTCTGCCTCTATAGCCATATTTATTAGCGGTATACGTGTATATAAACTGACAATGTCAAAACTAACCATTTTCTCTTCATTATCTAATTTTAAATTATCTAATCTGTGTTTTAGTTCATAAGAATTCGACAGTCTAGATTTCGAATGGCTTTTTAAGGGATTTAATACCATGGCTAAATGTTTAGATAGTTCATAGGTAGGTGAATTTCTAAAATCAACTATAGGTCTAATAGGGTATCCTGACTTATGAACTCTAACAACACCATACATCCTATTCGGGTTATTAGTTTTCGGCATTAAATTAAACCATTTAGACTCACCTAGAAACGGATTCATTCGGCGTATAAAGGTCCGCTGTGGATTTCTTAACCTCATGTGTTAAGTGTTTTCTTAGTGCATTGATTATTTTAAAAATCTGACACATTTCCATTGTATGTCCTGTGTCGTCAGTTAGGTATTATCTGGCATTTGCACTTGGGAGCACTTTTCTACCTTTCATACAGAGACTTTTAGGGATATGCTCAGAAAATTTAGTAGACGCTCTCTTTTCAGTCCTTCCTGTGTACTTGCTGCCACAAGTACAGGTGATTTGGTAAGTGCGATTTGTTGAGTTGACATGACGAGGATACTCATCTACTTTTGACTTAGTTAACTAGAGCATATCGTGATGTAAAGTGGAATGAGTGTCCAGCGACGGGAAATGTTCTTTTTGGTTCCTGTGAATACATCTTCTCTTTTACACCTAAGAGACACATAAAAACTGGTTTCCTTTCAACTATTTTGGATTTCGGTCCACCCGTTTGTTTTTCAATTCAATCTTATTATTTTATTTTACTGTTCACTCCTCCACCCTCCTGAACTCTCTCTCTACCCATAATATGTATAAATTCACTCTGTCATTCAGTCTTGTATCCTGTCTTTAGTTCACACTTGTTTCCAAGAGAAATCTCAACTCTCTCTCTCTCCTCTTGTCTTATTATAATATAATTAGTTATCCCCTTTCTAACACTGAATGATCCGTCTACTCACATCATTTTTTTGGAATTATATTGCCTATACTTTCTACCTATAACTCGAAGTCACTGTCTGTCTGTCTGGATTCAACATAGAACTTGGCACCGAAGTGCAGCAGTTCGATTTGCCACCTTCCAAATAGCACACAGAGGTAGACAAGAAGATGAGTGAAGAGAATCAATACAGTCTGACAAGTATAAGAGTGAAACAGAATGGATAATGGTAGAAAGGAATATGAAAGATTACAGGGACTGAATACATCTGCACTGGTCATTGACAACGATTTTGAGCCATGTCACCTATTGTTTTCAGCCATTGATTCCTAGAGTCAGTCTCGAGGGCCCCAACCCGGGAGTCTGCATCTCCCTACCTAACTCAGTTTAACTGTCAAGGATTTCATGGATTGATGAGGTCATGTTTCTGTTTGGCCACCACTTACCCTTTTCCAACCTGCTGTGAAAAAATTATAATCAAAAATCTTTTAATTTATATTTTAATACTGTTTATGATGTGTGCATTTGACGAGAGAATCCACAACATAAAATGAACTTGTATTATCCAGTCTGGAAATATGTTCATTCTTTCTTTATTCAAACAACTTAAATATTCTTCATATTATTATGGTACAATCAGTTATTATTTTCAAAACGATTGAAATATTGGATGTTCGTACGTCGATTTGGCCAGCTACTTGAACCTTGGAGGCGGGCT